CCTCGGTAATAAAGAAAGTCTGTAAGCAGATGTATTTAACTGTACTATTGTTTAAGATTAAAAAATATTACTAAGGACAGTTCTTTCTTTACCTCTGTGTGCATTCCTGTGATGGCTGTTATTAAAAACTCTGTAGCCAGTGGGTATAAATGTAAAAGTAGGTAAAAAAAAGCATTCTAGGATGGCATAAAATGGAAACAAGTCATAAACCCAAAATAGAATTTAAATATTTAACTAAAATAATGATAGTGGAGACACTGCACTATCTTCAAGTTATTCACTCTACAATGGGCACAGGCTAGTGTGTGTGATTTTTTGTTTGATTGTGGAAGAGACCTATAGCAAGCTGACTTAGGATCCTGAATGAGGTTGAGAGTTGGCTGTGAGGGTGACAAATTCCCCTAATTCCAAGTTCCTATAATTGAGGACAAACTTCCCCACTTGGCTACTTTGGACCAGGGGGGCCCTTGTTTACCTTTAACTGCTCTAAGTCAAAGAGAAAACCTACACTGAAAAATTTCTGTGCTGCCTGAGCAAGTCAACCCAGTCACTCAGGATGGAAGATTTCCTGTGTTTGTTTTTAACAGGCCTGCTTGGTTTTAAAAGTACATCTCTTTTTGCCCCAAACGATTTGTTAATCAAGGTAGATTGCAGGCTTCAGAAATAAACTCATTTATTGAGGGCGGCAGAAGAACTCTAGTTGGGCCTTAGGCCCTGGGCTCAGGCTACCTGGGCTGGGGGCTGGCTCTGCAGCCTGACAGTGGTGTGACCCTGGGCCACTTTGCAGGGCCTCAACTACCCCCACCCCCAACCCACCCCAAGGAGGTAGTACTACTTTCATCCCTACGTGCTCCATTTCACAGATTAGAGACTGAGTCACAAGGAGGTTATGTGTCTTGCACTTTATTATCTAATATATGGCACAGAGTAAGTACTCAGTAAAAGCTGGCTATTACTGTTTGAGATGTTAGAGGCCAAAATCTGGAAGCTGTAGAAGTCATCTTGCTGACAGCACTTTCTAATGTTGTCTGGAATACAAGTTCTGAATTGCTCTGTTGTGCAAGGCTTTCTGCACTGTGGTTCAGATATTTTGAAGAGATGGGTCCAGCATTCCTATCCGGGGGGTCCAGGAGAGGTTTGCATTGTGGTATGGGCTCCATTCTCATGCACTTTGTTAGACCCATTTGGTGTCCTACCCTAAACCGAGGATGGGTTTACCACCCCAAATTAATGGCCACTGCCAGGGAGCTCTGCCCTGTTGGCCTTCGAGGTTTATTTGTCAGCATGTGTGATCATTTGGTGGATAATACTGTTTACTGGCCTCTGCAGGCCAAAGCCTGACACTTCTGATCTCCTGTTTCCTAGCTAACAGTAGAGCTGGTCCTTGGAGACTGGGGGCTGGGTTTTCCTCACACCATGGCTGCTAATGTATTCTGCAGAAGGGAGGAGATCTCGATTCTAATCAGGAAATCCTTCTACTTTCTTTTGCATGACAACCTCCAATACTGGAGGAGTCTTTTCTTTTTCTCTAGAATTTTGAGAAACAAAGATCTGTGATTTATTTCAAATGCTGCATTAAAAATATTTTATTATTTTTTAAAAGAAAATAAAACAGCTTTAGGACAAGAAATTTGAATGTGCTTAGGACAAGACCTAATCAATGGAGAATTTTTTTCATATGTAAAGGTCATTCTGAGTTTCTCTAAGCACAGGATCATTGCTGTTTTAAAGTCATTTTCATCCAAGCGCTATTCATATTAAAACCAACATTTTTTACCTTATGTAAAACATTATATCTGCATCCTACGGTGGTAGTTTGTGGCTGAATGGCAAGTTTTGTAGGGATTAAAAAAAACTCAAGTACATACCTAATAATTTGAGAAAAAATGTAGAATTAAAAAAAAATCAAGAAGGGAAGGCAATGTGAAGTGTATAAATAAATTATAGACCAAGAGAGGATGTTGAATTCACTCAATGTCACATCTGCATTCCTGCCCCTCAGGTTTCCGCACTGCTGTCATTTTATTAAAGTTCCAGTTTATTATTGCTCATTTTATGGAAACAGTTTGACATGAAAGTTGGTTAATGAGACATTGCTCTGTAAATAAGCAAAGCCTTGCTAACTATAGTCTAAATGATGCACAACTATCATTTAAAAGCTATAATGGAACTGAAGATTTCTTTGATAACGTGTTTATAACGTTATCATGACAGGGAAGTGGAACATATGATGGTATCACTGTAATATGGTTGAACCAAATTTAAGTATGCCTGTACGCACACTAGCTTATGGTTCTGTTCTTTAATGTTTATTCTGTTATGTTCTATTTCCTTCCCATTAATCAACACACAGTGACTCTTCCTCCTCAAGTTAGTCCCTGCCTCCCTCAGTATAGGTGCTAGGAGTTGAAACTGAAGGCTCAGGGGTGTCCAACCCTGCACAGCTCCAGGCAAATCTGGCAGTATTTACTATTAGCCCCATCTCCACTTGGGGTTAGGAAGTCTAAACCAGTGGTTCTCAAAGTGTGATCCTGGAACCTGCAGCATCAGCATTGCCTGGCATGTGGTAGAAATGCAAATTCTTAGGCCCTGACCCAGACCTACCACATCAGAAACTCTAGAGAAGGGGTCCCGCAATCTGGGCTTTAATGACCCTCCAGGTAGATCTGATGCTCACTCAAGTTTGAGAGCCATTATCTTAGCTTGTTGCCCTGTATCCTGTGTGCCTGGAGGTTGACTTCCTGGGTATCCACATATCTATGAACTTCAGTTTACTCCCCTTGATTTCCTCATGACTGGGTCTCTGGTCTCTCTGACTGGGCTTCGCTCTGATTTCATATTAAGACTCTAGTTCCCAGCTGAGATTTCCACCTTGCCTATTAAATGGAGTCCCGTCAACTCTTTTCCCTAAATACATCACAGCCCTGCCTTTACCCCTCTCCCCTCCTGGCTAGTTGCCAAATCTGGCATTGACTCATTTGGGTCATTTAGAGCCAGTTCCCAGTGGGGCATCTCCATGACCTGGCAACCCCATGCTGTGCCCCGCAGTAGGCCATAATATCATTAGCCTAAGTTGACCTCCAGGCCCCTCACCTGGGGATGCTAGGGTTGACATCACTATCTTTCCTTATTAGGCCCTATCCTGTGGCCTGGATAATTGTTCTAAGCTGCCTGAAGCCCCATTATTACACTCCCCTCTCCCTGCTGATCCGGCCAGCAAGAGACTGCGTAAGCTATGACATCTATTTGAAGTCAACGGATGCCTTTGGAAAACACTATAGGAGAGTTAGCGAAACACATTAGGATAAAACATGTTACTGATTCTGGGACAAACTCTTCCGAGTAAAGAAAGACAACAGTAGAAAAAAAGTTATATTTGAATTACTTTAAGAAAATGTTGACTTCACTACTTCATGTTCTGAATATTCTAATTGACCTGACAGGGCATTCAATCCCTTATCTTATGTGGATTGGTATCCTCTACCTTTTGTTTTCCAAGCCCTAATTTTTCCATGTATACATCCACCTATTGAATTTTGTTTTTCAGAATCCTGAACACACCACCAGTAAGACACCACTGTCTTACTAACAGTTCACAGGGTACCCCGCACTGTAGAGTTTAGTGTAATATGTGTGCTCATCCACAGCAGCCTACAGGTAGCCACCACCGTGAAAGAAAGTGCAAGTCACATTTCTACGCCTAGAAAATAATTCAACAAGCATTTCAAAACATGCCCCATTCACCTTTGGTCAAAGCCCTTTTATGTGTTTAGCAACATTCACAGTACTTCAAGAGGTTCTTTTTCCTTTGTATTTGGTTTAACTCATGGCCACTTGGCTCAGTCTAAGCACAAGCTTTCTTGTACTAAACTGTGAGTCCTGCTTTCTGCTTCCTCTTTGTCAAACGGATAGAAAATTATCAGTAAGCGCTTAAAAAAATCAATCCACATTTGTGGTTATACTCACCTGATTTTTCATGTAGTAATTATTTATTCAGTCTTTCTATGTGCCAGGCACTATATTGGTGCCAGAATAACAGAGTCTTGTCTTAAAGAACCTTCTTGGAAGTCGTTTTCCAGGCAGATGGATCTTTTCCTGTCAGATGTGATGGGAACAGATAGGCCTTACAGAGAATGGGCGGGGACCAGGGAGGGGCTGCATGATCATCAAGATCATGCTTGATGGCTTTGAGGAATAAAATGTGGTTTACCTAAAGCACTGTTACATTCTGGGCTATGAAAATGAGGACCCAGGTAAAATAACACTTAAATAAAGACAACAGCATTTTAAAATAGATTTCCCCATTTACACAATTGGCACAAGCTATCCATGTTTGTCAAACTGTCCGCTTGCTACATGCTTCAGATTTATAGCAATCATCTTCCAGGCACTGCTTATCGCGGGGCCCTGACAGAAGTCTTGACTCCCTTTTCCTGTGAGAAATTGTCTAACTTGTGTCTATAGCATCCCTCTGGCTAAACATGTGGCTCACTAATCAAATATGTTTAAGCGTTTCCTGTGTTCCTAATTCTGTCCTAAGTGCTGTGAGGAATTAATACCAAACAAATTCATTTTCTCGTTGGTACTACAGTTTTTCTGTATAAATCCTATTGGATTGTGAGTAGCTGAGGGCAAGATGTGTGTCTCACTCATTTTTGTAAACTCCATAACATATCACATTGTACTCCATAAACACTGTTGAATGGAAGAATTCACAGATAAATAAATTCATCTTTATGAATGAATTTATTCATTCATTCAGTCTGTCATAGGGACAGACTGTAAACAGGCATCCTCCTGAGAGTTCCAGGACGCTTGGGAAAGTCAGTTCCATCAGTGATGGGCCATATTGTTTCACCATGTGAATGAAGGTCAGCTTTGCCCCAGGGAAGTTAGAGCACAGACCTGCCATTGTTCTCTTGACCAAGCCAACAACACAGGAAAGGGAACAGCGCAGCCATGCCTCCTGATGGTTTCCTTTGTTAAACAGCGCCACTCACCTGATCTGAAGCCAAGTCAGCATGGGGATCGTTCCTCCTCCGAATACCCAGACTGTGAAGAACACAAGGAGCAGCGTGGTGGTGAACATCATTTGTTTGGGCTGAGATTCTGTGTCCCGAATAGCTAAAGCAAATGCTATCGCTCCTCGCAAACCTTACAGGGAAAACCAAAAAGAGAAGATAAACATCTGCACGAATCTTGTTCTCATGTCATTGAATTTACCTTTACAATTTGCTAACAAACACGATTAGTCTTTCAAATTAAACTTTTTATTTTGAGACAATTATGTAGATTCACATGCAGTTGTAAGAAATAATAGAGGCTTACTGTGTGTCCCTTCCTCACTCTCCATGCCCACCCCCTCCGCACCCTCCCAAGGATAACACCTTGCAAAACTCTAGTACAACATCACAACCCAAATGACTGTATTTTGACATGGATATAGTCAAGATACAGTTCATTCCCATCACCACCAAGATCCCTCATGTTGCCCTTTTGTACCCACATCCACTTCCCTCCCTCACACTCCCTCCTTAACCTCTGGCAACCAGTAATCACTTCTCCATTCCTGTAATTTTGCCATTTCAAGATGTTATATAAATGGAATCATGAAGTATGTAGCCTTTTGGAATTGGCTTTTTACATCCAGCATACTTCTCCGGATATTCATCATGGTAGCTGAATGTTTTAATAGTTTGTTCATTTTTCTTGTTGAGTAGTATTCCATGGTATGGATATTTCATAGTTTGTTTAACCATGCATCTGTTGAAGGACATCTGGGCTGTTTCCAATTTTGGCTATTACAGATAAGGCTGCTATGTGTGTGAACGTAAGTTTTCATTTCTCTGAGATAAATGCCTAGGAGTGCAATCACTGAGTCTCGTGGTATTTGCATATTTTTAGAAGAAATTACCAAACTGCTTTCCAGAGTGCCTATATCATTTTACATTCCCACTAGCCATATATAAGTCATCCAGTTCTCTGCATCCTCACCAGCATTTAGTGTTGTCACTATTTTTTATTTTAGTCTGTCTGATAGGTGTGTGGTAATAGCTTGTTGTGATTTTAATGTGCATTTTCCTAATGACTAATGGCGCCAAACATTTTTTAATGTGCTTATTTGTTATCTTTATACCCTCTTGGGTGAAATGGCTCTTTGTGTCTTTATCTCCTTTTCTAATCGGATTGTTGGATTTTTGATTGTTGGTTTTGAGAAGTCTTTATATATTCTAGATAATAGTCCTTTGCTGGATACATTGTTTGTAAATATTTCCTCCCACCCTGTAGCTTTTTATTAATGAAGTCCTATCTGTTGATTTCCTTTTATGAGTCATGTGTTTAGAGTCAAGTCTAAGAACTCTTTGCTTAGCTCTAGGGCCCAAAGATTTTTCCCATATGTTTTTAAAGTGTTTTCTAAAAGTTGTTTAGCTTTACATTTTACATTTAAGGCCATGATCATTTTGAACTAACTTTTGTATAAGGCGTGAGGTTAGGTTGAGGTTCATTTTTTCGCCTATGGATGTTTAATTGCTCTGTTGAATTGCTTTTGCACTTTTGTCAAAAATCAGTTGGGTATATTTGTGTGGATCTATTCCTGGGTTCTCTACTCTGTTCCATTGATCTATGTGTCAGTCCCTCTTCTGATAGTACACTGTCTTGATTACTGAAGATATATAGTAGGCTTTAATATGGGGTACAGTGATTCTTATATTTTGTTTTTCAAGTTGTTATATCTATTCTAGGTCTTTTGCCTTTCCATAAAAATTTAGAATAATATTGTCTATATCTACAAAAAAAATCTTTCAGGGAACAATTTCTTTTAAAAAATCAAATGTCAGACAACAAGGAAAGCCAAGCTTATGGACCACTGAAAATTAATAAATAATTAAATAACATTTAAGAATTAGTCCAGTCTGACCACATACTTTTACAAAGTCTATGATCTAAACTAACCTATTAAAATCTGCTTTTTTCTTGTTTTAATAATAATACGCCAATGGAATTTTTATGAATCCATATTAAATATATTTGCAGGAAGAGGTATTAAAGATTAAATGCTAAAATTTCAAATCAAAGCGTGGCGACATTAATAAAAACAGAGACATAAACTTTGTAGAAGAGTAAATAAAGGCACAAGTGGTAAGGTAAAAAAGTTAAAATGGAAGGCCTCTCTTGGGTAACACAGATTTGCAAGACATTTACGGGCCCTGTTATATCAGGTAATGACAAATAAACATTTATAATGACATCAAGTATAAGTCAAAGAGGTAGTGATTTGGTTATTTTTACAGAAAGGTTTAAATTACATACACAAAATGTCAATGGTCCATTTTTTATAATATTTACTGTATCATCTAGATTTCTAAATTTCTAAATTTTTATTCATACATTAAAAGAATTTTAGAAGTTGGATACTGGATAGGATGAGGAACACTGTAACGAACCTGGTTTTTATCCCCGGGTTCCCAACTTAGATTATAATGCCTCTTTCTTATCTCCACACTGAGAATATACAAGGGACAAGTGGCATAACACAAGATCCAGAGGATTAGACTAGAGAGATTTAATATATTTTGCCTGAAACAAGGAAGCCTGAGAAAGAAAGAAGAACATGCACTCGGATTATAAAATACCTTCAAGGAACCAACTGTAATGGAGGAAGGAAATTATTCTAAATCTCCATGTAGACAAGGAAATGGCCTGAAGATAAGGAAAATAACATTTGAAGTAGATATTAATAAAAAAGTTCTTATACATCAGAAATTCTGAACACTTGAGATGACTGTACTCAAGAAGAAAAATCCCACACCAGAGATGTCCATGCATTTAGACTCAGCTGGGGAGAAGAGAGTGGAGATGTTCATAGCCCTTAATACTGGGGAATATTTTAATGCTCTCTCCAGGAGAAATGGTGTCGTTAGGGAATGGAAACTCAAGGAAACAGTCTTGCAACAGACTTCTGGATCTGAGGAGAGAATTTATAGGTCAAGGTAAAGCTGCTAGTAGTGTTTAATCGCAGTACAAGATTGGAAATAGAAGGTGATCTTTTCATTTTCTCTTTTCCTCAAGCTCACATTGCTAGAAATGTCTATAAAACAACATTATCCCAAGGTAGGTGGTGAGTATTAGAAGTATTCATTGATGAGACTCTCTAAGTATTTATTTTTATTTTATTGAATATGTATGGTTTTTTTTTTTTTTTTTTACTTTGCATTTTTGTGAGAAAAAATAGTCTAGAGACTGGAATAAAAATTAAAACTTGTTATCTCATGCTTGTTGTAAACTCTTTCATGTTAGTATTAAGGACAAGGAAGGACACAATCATTTATCTTTCTAAATATGTTTAATAATGTGTTATTATCTTAAACTAGCATAACTATGCTCTTAAATCTAAATTATCTATACATGAGCAGTTTTTGGTTTAAAAATGTATTCAAAAGATAGCTGTTATTCTGACTTCTAAAAATATATATATTCTTTTTATAAAACTCTCTATATTTACAGGAGATGCAATATAGAGATATATGGGGGAAAAAAAGGAAGAACTCAGCTGCTGCCTTGTACTTGAGGCAGGTTGACACATTGCTAATTAGGGCCAAACTCCAAGATGTTGACAAGTGGATACCTTCTCTATATGACAACCACTTAAAAAACCACAGGAAAAGGGTGTTTTTGGAGAAGGGATCATCTGCCTGTAGCCCTGGTCACATGTGGCACATATGGCACATGCCACATGTGAGCTGTCCTGGCAGCATGAGCAGCATGCAACTGAGACAGACGAGGTTGGTAAGTGGTACAAGGTGAAGCTAATTTAGAACTTGAGATAAGAACTATTGCTATGTCCCACTCATTCTTTATGATTCCAAAGTTATTATCACACATTTGGAGCCTGGGCAATTGTCAAGTCAATGGCCATTCATTGCTTTATTCAATACATATGTCCCTTAGTCTACCATAACAAAGTACCATATGGACTGCCGTAACAAAATACCATGGACTGGGTAGCTTCGACAACAGAAAGTTATTTCCCACAGTTCTGAAGGCTGGGATGTCCAAGATCAGGGTGCCAGCGTGGTCGGGTCCTGGTGAGAGCTCTCTTCCTGGCTTGCAGAAGGCCATCTTCTTGCTGTCTCTCTTTATTAAAAACATTAATCCTATCATAGAAGCCCCACCCTCACAACCTTATCTAAACCTACTTATCTCTCAAAGGACCCATCTCCAAATACCATCACATTGGAGGGGTTAGGGCTTCAACATATGAATTTGGGGCACTCAATTCAACCCATGGCAATCTGTATTGATTATCTGCTACATGGAGGTTCTATGCACACTTATCCTGTCTTCCTAGCCCCATGGATTTGGGAAACAGGCAACTTTAGTATTAAAATAAATTACTCACCTACCAGCAAAATACTAGAAATAAAAAATTAATATTGACTTAGAAGTTTCTTTTAGCGAAACATTATTTCCAAAGAACACATACCATTTTGCTTAGAAACTCAGGGAATCCAGAACTCATCTTCAAAACTTGTGTTTCATTTTGTTTTATGAATACTTTGACCCTTTGGATTTACCTTTCTTTTTCTCTTTGGTTTGGCCAACTAATGGAAATAATTCTATACTTTTGGGTGTTGATAGACTATACTGTTTCATTTTAGACGGGTTTACTTTGCAGAGATTTGACATATTTTAGAGACTCAGTTGGAAAGTCAGCATCATTTGGGGAAATAAAATAATTACCTGCAATTAAATGTGGTTTCATTTAAAATTGGCCTCTAAGGGATTCTTATGTTAATTATGTTGATGTTCTATTCATAACAATAGAAGACTATTGAACCAAGGAATGCATTATAGCAAGGACCCCTGCTTGCATAAAATGTTTAGCTTCTTGTTTATCTTTAAAGAGCAAAAGTGGAACTCAATCTGTTATAAACTTGCAAATGTGTTCTGAATGGGTGAAGGTCAGATACAGCTATATTTAAATCATAGGAATATAAGTACCCCCTAGGGCATTTTTATGGAAGGTGCAGAGCAATAGTCAAAAACTAAACGTTCATTGAGCACTTGTCACTGACTAGGCGCTTAGAGAAACTCAAAGGTGGGTTTGGAAGCAATTAACTATTTTTCCAAGTTGTTTCTTTTCCTTTTGTATG